AAAATCTCTGTGTTCTCCAAAGTACATGTATACAGAAATATATTATTGGGAACAATTTTAGTGCAAAAAAGGAAGTGTAAAACCCACAAACTTAAAACATGAGTCTGTGAAAGCAACAGCACAGCCTTCAAATAATAGTCAAAAAAAGACTTGGAAAAGACTTTGCTTCTAGTAAGATATGCAAAAAGATTCAAACTACAAAGTACTTCAAGTAAACTTTTAAAAATGAAATACCTGATTACATGAAAATAAAATAATATTTTTAGGAGAAAATTCTTTGTCCATGCATTTTAAAAATGCTTTTTATAACCCTCTCAGTTTTAAAAGGTATTTTAAACTTCTTCCTTGGCCACTATCCAATCATATTTCAGTTATAACACAACTTCTAAGCTTTGTTTGTTTAAATGATTAGGCAATTAAAATGATAATTTAAGTTGCATTTTCCTAATCTGAAAATGGTAGTTCTGGCAGAAGAATGAAAAATAGGAAGAACCCCCTTTAGACTATCCCTTAAGTTTGAGGGTTAAGCTAATATCCCACATAGTGATGATGTTTTTATTGTTAACTCAGGAAAAACTCTTATAAAATTTACAAAACGTTGAGTACAACAGAAAGCTCAGTTTTAGATAATGAGGAAGTGAGCAGAATACTCATAATAAACTTGCCTTCTTGTAAGATAAGACTCTTTCTTAAAAAAAAAAAAAAAGAATAGTTTTTTGCTTGCATGTAATTCCAGTGCCATACCAACGTAAATAAAATATTATTATTTATAAATATATATATAATTTTATCTCAGAATGAGAAAAATACTTGTAATAAAGAAAATAAATGTTTAATAGCAATCCACGAACCCCAGCAACCAGTCTAAGTAAAACAGACCAAAGGGAACAAGAAGTTGTGCTTTGAGATTATTGCCTTTTACACAGATGAGGAATTACTTTCTTTTACTTTGAAAATCCTTATTATTAAATATAATTGAATTGATATTAAAGGAAAAAAAATGAAATATCATAGAAGATCAGATCATTGCTCCTTTTAGTCTGGTATCTGATATTGGACAGTGGCCAGCATCAGATTGTTCAGAGAAAGACAACAAAATTATTTTAAGAGAATTTTACACTTCTTAGTAATTCAAAGATTTAATGTAGTGCCAGGCACTATGGAACATCCATTCTGCTATAAAGTTGAAAAGGTCATCCTTTCCCAAGCTTACACAGAATGCAAAGTGTTCTAAAAATCTACGCATGTACTCAGACTGTCTTGAAAGTTGCAGTGCTTGTCAGAATTCAGGCTAGATCGGGCAATCCTTTGTCCACAAATATCTTTGTGGTCATGTGGCAAAAGTACTCTCTGCACGGCTCAAACCCCAGCCCTCAAATGCTGTCAGTCAGTCAACACTTAGTTCAGATCCTTTGAAGAATTTTAGCAAAACAACAATTTAAGGATAAATTAGGCTTTTAAGATTAGAATGTCCAAAGCACATGTGCAACAAACTAAAAATCTAAGCAAGACTTTCCTGCCAGCTAGTTTTGACCAACCTTGATTTTCTTTTGTCACATTCTCTCTCTACAATCTGAACTCAACTGTTGGAAGAAACTTGAGACTCTTTTTAGGAAAATAGCTGTTGTTCACATTTGTCATTTTTTTTTCATGTTTTTCATAGGTATAACCTTGACATACATTTGGCTAACGGAAGTGGAAAAAGGCAGCAAAAGTAGAAAGCAGAGCAGTGAAAGGTGTATGGGACAGTTTATGGAAATTGAATAGATGAGTATAGATATCAACAAAAATAAAAAAAAAAGTCTGATGCTTACACCAGGAGAAAGAATAATTTTTAAAAGGGGAAAGGAAGTTTGTCAGCCCTGCTCAGTGTTCATGCACATATGTGAGGAGCAGGTTCCTAGGGAGGGAAGAGGAGACTGAGGGAAAGGGCTATCACTCAATACCCTACCTGAGCTTGAATCAAGGTTCATAAACACAGAAGGAGTTGAAAGCCAAGAAATACTTGGCATCACAAGCCTAAGTTCTGCTACCTTTGAATGACAGTCCAAAAAATAGAATATTACAGTATTACAGGAACATTCCAAGGACAAGTTGTATGGCATTATAAGACAGACTGTAGACTTCACTTTGCTAAGGACTTCCGTTTTACAAGAGCCACTCGGGAAAAGCAATGTCAGTACCTCAGGTATGTGACCAAGCTTACTTTGTTGCAACAAGTTATAAAGGGTTTGCTGAGCTACAGTAACGCACTAAGCCTGCTGTAAAGCGCCGTAAAGGTCAACTGTTTTAGCCTAAGATAACAAGTTTCAGAGTGTGTTTCCACATGTTTAAAGGATGCAGCTCTGCTGACATGCAATAATTCGGGCACTGCCTGAGCTTTCATGCATGTAAATCTCCACAAAAATATTGCATCTGCAAAATTTGATGACTGCTTCTTACAAATCTCCACTCCTACCCATAGGATTCCATGTAAAACTAGGTTTTCACTTGTCCAACACTGAATTCAAAAATCCTTTCCATGTTACCAAAGTGACTGATTCCTCCACATATACTTGTATTGAAATCTTGTCTGCCAAGATGCCTCAACTAAGCCATCATCTTATTAAATTATCTTCAACAAAATAAATGTAGCTAAAATGAGTGTAGAATGATAAGGGTAATTCCTGTCAACCTTAAAAGGCAGAAACATTATGTTATACATAACTAAAAGCTAAAAAGCTTCATTTCCTCTCCACCCCCTTTTTTTAATGAGTTCTAGTTTTGCCGTGTTCTGTATTGTACTAGACAACAAAATTTCACCAAGTAACTTTAGTTCTGTATTAAATACTTACTTTTCATCAGTAAAACCATGTTCACAGAATCACTGAATGGTTTGGGTTGGAAGGGATCTTAAAGATCACCTAGTTCCAACCCCCCTGCCATGGGCAGGGACACCTTCCACCAGCCCAGGTTGCTCAAAGCCCCGTCCAGCCTGGCCTTGAACCCTTCCAGGGAGGGGGCAGCCACAGCTGCTCTGGGCACCCTGGGCCAGTGCCTCACCACCCTCACAGGGAAGAATTTATTCTTTATATCTAATCTAAATCTACACTCTGTCAGTTTAAAACTGTTACCCCTTGTCCTATCCCTACACTCCCTGATAAAGAGTCCCTCCCCATCTTGTACTGGAAGGCCACTCTAAGGTCCCCCCAGAGCCTTCTCTTCTCCAGGCTGAGCAACCCCAACTCTCAGCCTGGCCTCACAAGGCAGGTGCTCCAGCCCCGCCAATCAATCCAGCTCCCCAGTTCATTGCTCAAGCAGGTCCATGTCCTTCTTATGTTGGGGGCTCCAGAGCTGGACACAGCACCACAGGTGGGGGCTCATGACAGTGGAGCAGAGGGGCAGAATCCCCTCCTTTGACCCACTGGCCACACTTCTCTTGATGCAGCCCAGGGCACAGTTGGCTTCCTGAGCTGCAAGCACACATTGCTGGCTCACAGTCAGTTTTCCATCCACTACTACTCCCAAATCCTTCTCCACAGGGCTGCTCTCAACCCACTCATTGCCCAGCCTGCATTTGTGCTTGGGATTGCCCTGACCCACATGCAGGACCTTGCACTTGTTGAACTTCATGAGGTTTGCACAGTCCCACCTCTCCAGCCTGTCCAGGTCCCTCTGGATGGCATCCCCCCCCTCCAGCGTGTCAACTGCACCACACAGCTTGGTGTCATCAGCAAACCTGCTGAGGGTGCACTTGATCCCACTGTCCATGTCACCAACAAAGATGTCAGCCAGCACCAGTCCCAACACCAAACCCTGAGGAACGCCACTCGTCACTGTTGTCCACGTGGACATCGCGCCATTGACTGCAACTCTTTGAATGTGACCATCCAGACAATTCCTTTTCCATTGAGTGGTCCATCTATCAAATCTATGTCTCTCCATTTTAGAGACAAGGATGTTGTATGGGACAGTATGTAAAGCTTTGCACAAGTCCAGGTAGATGACCTTTCACTTCTATACACATGCCAAAAGAATTCAACAGCAATTAAGGTAGTCCCCTCCTTCTCCTGCTGTTCTGCCATTTGCAATTTGTGTTCAAATACTTGTTCAGTGTGGGTGGACATTTCTAAACTATGGTTTCACAACCACAAAACATCATCTTTTTACAACAGCCTCTGTTTAAATTTTCTGTATCTTGGTGTATTCAAGATTTCCTCCCACCACCCCCCATTGCACAATCCAAGCCTGTATCTGCACCTGTCTTCACACGTAGGGGTGTTCATTATTTTTGCCTCTGCTCAGATTGCTCAAGAATTCCTGCTGCTTCAGCATGAGAGAAATATGCAGTAACTGGTTTCCCACGGGAGATTAGATAAATGTTAAAATAAACTACAACTGAAAACAAGAGAGAATCAGAAAAAAAGGTCATGTTCTTAAACCTGTTTCTGAGAAAAAGAAAAGCAAATCTAGCATTAACTCAATTAAAAAGTCAAACTAAGACCTTTCACTTTATGATAAAATCTACCTGAACAAAGTACACCACGAAAAGCAAGCTGTTTTTAATGACAGAAAAACAATGTAAATCCTACAGCCCGCTCTCAAGCCTATGAAATAATGTATTTCGAAGGAGAAAATAAATGTTATTTCAACAACTTCAATAGTTATCAAAGACGCTAACTCCCAAACGAGAAAAATCCGGACAGGAGCTGACGGAAAGACACAAGCCGCCCCGTTTTGCTGGAGCAGGTTTCTAGCGCCTCGGCTGGAAGAAACCAAGGCTCTTCGGGCTCCCTTAGCGGCCGGGAGCCGGGCCCGGAGGGGCAGGGGCTCGCCCCCCGCCACGGCTGAGCCGGGCGGAGACAGACCTCGAGGGGAAGGGGGGTGCCGTGAGGGGAAGGGGGTGCCGTGAGGGGAAGGGGGGGTGCCGTGAGGGGAAGGGGGGGTGCCGTGAGGGGAAGGGGGGTGCCGTGAGGGGAAGGGGGTGCCGTGAGGGGAAGGCGGGGTGCCGTGAGGTGAGCGAGGCGCGGCGGCGCAGCCCCTCAGGCCTGGGCGGGAACAGCGGAACGCAACTCTCCGCCCCCGCCGCGCAGCGCCGACCCGGAGCAGGAAGCAGGGGACGGCGTTCCTTGACCCCGGCGTGGTACGGGAAAAGCTCATGGGAGAAGGGATGGAGGTGAGGAGGCGCCGGAGAGGGAGCAGGGCGGCGGGAGCGGCGGGCCGGCCGGGCGGGAGGGAGGGAGGGAAGCAAGGGGCCGGCTGGGAGCGGGAGGGGCCATTGAGGCGTCCCCTCAGCCGCCCGCTCCTGCGGCGGGGAGCCCCTGCGCCTCGGCGGTGCAGCTCCCTCAAAGTACAGCGGGCCCCGGCACCTCTCCGGTAGTGGCGGGCCCCGGGAGCTGCCTGCGGCTCCGCCCGGGCGGCGAGCCGGGGCGAGCGGGGGAACCGCGGCCGTGGCGCAGCAGGGACGGGGCCCGGAGCCCCAGGCTGGTGCTGTGTGGCGACGGGGCAGAAGCGGTTCCTGAAGTAAGTTACCGCCTCCCTGTTTGTGCTAATGCTGTTGGAAGACACATAACTTTGTTTAAAGGGAGGGGTTTTTCCTTTTGTTATCTCTCTGCCTACCTAGCACAGACCTCAGGTGAAGGGGTAGCAGAGGTTTTTGTGAGGCGTTTTTGGAGAAGCAGTTTTAATTGGTCTGTTTGCCCCTTTATATTTTACCTGTTGCAGTGCAAGAGCGATACTGTCTGGAGAGTTTCTTTGTTGCCATTTACACTTCTATATGCAACCGGAGTGCACGACTGATTTTTTTGATGTGTACGTGTGTCCTGATTCGGGCTGGAACAGAGTTCATGTTCGTTTTGGTAGCTGGAGGAGGAGGCAGAGCCAGTGGTAATCACCCGATCTCTATCCCTGAGTGAACTACGAGACATGAGAAAGGATTTCAGCCACCATCCAGGTGAACACCTCCTTACCTGGCTGCTCCGATGCCGGAATATTGGCCAATCTGGGCCCAGCACTCCAGCTGTGCTCCCCTGCTTAAATTAAACTGTTTTTATCTCAACCCGCGAGTCTCCCTTTGCCCCTCTGATTCCCTCCCCATTCCCAAGTCGGGGGAGGGTGGGTGAGCGACTGCATGGCGTTCAGCTGCCAACCAGGCTCATGTCATGCCTTTTGGTTGCTTCTTTGTGGGTTTCGCTTGTTAAATGGGATTTCCTGATGCTTTTCATCCTGTGGCTGCTGTATGCAGACTAATTTGATAAAACAAAAAAAGAAACATTGGTGTTAAGAGACAGCTAAAGTAGCCTGGTTAGGAATTTAACAAATCAAAGATTTCTGTACGTAGCCAGTTGTTTTTATGTTTGTTACAATTTACAGGATTTTTCAGTGGTATAATGTTTAAGGTAAAGCTTGTACAGATATAATTTAAGATATTTACATTTGAAATGAACTAAACTAGAATTTTGCAGGCTTTGTACTGACATCTGAAAAATCCTTTGCAGACTTGTAGTTTCTATTTTGATAAAGTAAGGATTGCAGTTATGCTGTCTGGATTTTGTCCACATAAATAAGGCCATCTACATAGCAGATTACTAGCCTGTTGTTTGAGCTTGACTTCAGATGATAAGAAAACTGTATATAGTTTGAGTTCAGATTTTTCTCTCTATCTGGTACACTAGTGTTCTTATAAATCACTGAGATAAAGAGAACGGGTTTTCCTCTCTTGTCAGCTTTGTGTATAAATATCTCTGAAAGACCTTCCTCTGCTGTTTTTCTGTCAGTTACTAAGCAAGTTGTACCTAACGCACTCCTCCTCCAGTGAGAAAATGTAGTCCATCAAATCTCCTCAAACTGTAGAAAGATGATGAGGAGATCCAGACTGGAGTAATTCAGTGCAGTTATTTTCATAGTCCTGTACTGTGCTCCTAGCTCGGTTTAAATGTGAATGAGTCCGTGCCTCAAACTAGGGTTATAACTCACAGATGGGTGGGCTCTCATAGGTAGTTGTGTACTGAAGTGCTTTAATCCAGTGTTGGGGCAGTAGGTGGGGATGAATAGTTGTGGTGCTCCCTGCTGACTGACTGCCCTGTGATTGGGGTAGCCTCCTCTTAGTATGCTCCACATGTGTATCTTTATTTTAAGAATATATAGAGAGTAAGACCTTAAAAAAATCATTAAGTTGGCTTTGAGCGTGTGGAACAAGTTATTTTCTATAATGCATCATCTATGAAAGGTTTTTACTTCGCTTTCTTTTGGATCCTAGCTGCGTATAGGACACTGAAAGGGTGCATGAAATCAGTTGATCTATCAAAGCTTTTCTCAGTTCCCTGATTAGAAGGCTTATAAGAACATCTGGGTGGCTTTTTTGTGTGTGTTGTTTGTTTGTTTTTTAATAGTAGTACATGAATTGATGTGCTATGGGAAGAAGAATGAGTCTGGTGTTTTGGTTGGGTAGTTTGTTGTGTTTTTTCTTTTTTCTTCTTTTTTTTTGGTTTTGAGTTAAAATATTAAGATATTCCTTCTGACAATAACTGCTATAATAGCCCACATATTTTATAGTGAGCAGTGCATAGTTGGGGAAAGAACAAAACAAGTTTAATGAAAACAAACAACAAACCACACATCTGTCAAACCTGATGGTGTGTAGCCTCATATAGGAGCATCTTTTCTACATACATGAGAACAGGAAAGGAGAAGGAAAGGAATGATTCTTATAAAAATAATTTGTAAAGGATAAAAAGTAAAAATGGCTGTTTTGAAGCTTTAAGTTTGTTATCCCACAATTATGTAAATAGTAAATCAGTGACAGATCTAAGATTGCTAAGTCCTGAGTTTTGAGACAGGATGTGGTACTTTCACAGTGGCTCTTGTGACAGTGATTGTGCAAATTATTGTGGCCTTTCTATTCTGCTGTAATGCTAATGCTAATACTTCATTGAGTATCTAATGATTAATTTATAAAATGCTTTGAATATCTAACCTCCTGCGAAATTTCCAGTTAATGTATTACTGGCAATATCTAACTAGTTGTAACATAAGCAAAATAAAACACTTGGTTTTTTGAGCAGGCTCATGAATGATGCTCAAAATAGATTCATTTCAGTTTGGTTAATATGGAGGAATTTGTTTTCTGTTACTGTAGAAATATACTTAATTTCATGAGTGCTAGCATCCACAAAAATATTTAATACATAGGGACTATGAGGAAGAAAGAAGGAACAAAGTTATTCCAGAAGGAATGGTTAACATTTATGTAGGAAAGACTGTCAAAACAAGTTCCATAATAAAAAAGAAGGATCTACTGCAGACTTCAAAAGAGATTTATCCATTTTATTGACTGATATGTTTGCAAAGTGGCAGAGAAAAATTTACATGCCTTAGGGCATGGAAAACATGCATTATTAACTGTATTTTAAAAGGCACTTTAAATTAATTGTTGCCAGATGGGATGAGAAGATAAGTGTCCTGCACTGCAGATGGCCTCTTGTTTGACATTTATTGTTTACTAGTCTGGAGTCAGCTTTGGTGGATGAAGAAGGTTGATCTCTCTAAGGTTTGTACTAGAAAGCTGTTTTTATGCTTGTGTTCTGTAATGTAAAAGGACTGTGGAACTCAGAAGCCCTTTGTGTTTGGGCACCTTAAAGCACGTAACTGTGTTGCTGCAATCATATTTTAATGAAAAATTGTTTGATTCAGTATTGGTTTGCAGGTTTTTTGGGCAATAAAGATTACTTTTCCAGCCTGCATAATGATTTTGTATGGTCTAGGTCTTGTATGGTTTTTATTAGCATACATCTTTCATCTTTATTGTAAAGGCAACTTAGGAAATTAAGTAATTAAATGAGTTTGACAAAGTTATTGCTTAATAACATAACAGAGTCTAAGCTGTATTCGTAAGTATAGTACTTGACTTTGTTAATTAGATCAGAAATTAGCCCTTTCTATCAAAGCTAACATGCATTGTTAAACATAACATTAGGGTAACCTAGTAAAGCAAACATTTATTTTTACAATGCAGCTTCTTTTATGTCAAGTCTTGAAGTCTTGGTCTATAACTGAAACAATGTGCTTCTGAACAGCTTTGATCTTGGACTGAAGGATGAGCTTGAGGATGGGTTGTGTGGTTTTTTTTTTGTTGTTGTTTGTTTTTTTTTTTTATTCTCAGTTTTTACTTGCAGATGTTTGACAGAATCAAAGCATCTGATGAAGCTTCTGCTTCTTCAGCACAAGGTGAGAAGTTCAAAGTAAATGCTTTTGTTGCAATTATTATTTTTTTTTTAATGTAATAATTAACAGTAGAAGCATTAGTTCACCTTATAGTTTCAGTTACTTTGATTTCCTAAATTTCATTATGGAACTTAGATGGAAGAAATCACTTCTGAATCATCCACAGAGTTTCCATGTAGGTGTAATTTTATTGTCCTATAATAAGCTTTTTAAGATATGATACATTTTATCTTAGTGATCACAGATGTAGCAGTATAAATGTAGATTGCCTAGTCTTGATCCCAGACAAATCAGTAGAAAAATTCCCACTTACCTGAACCATGAAAGAGTAAAGCTTATTTTATGAAGCTTTTAGAGGAACTTTGAGGACAAAAGGATCTCTCTCTTCATACTTCCTTGAACTTACTAAATTTTTAATCTTCATTTAAAGTAGTAGTTTTGACAAATGCAGTGTAAGAGAAATAACTAATTGCAGGTAAAACCATTCCATCTCTTTGATACTCTCTTTTTTTTTTTTTTTTGTTTTGTTTTGTTTTTTTCTATAGGAATCGAAAGACATGGTGTTGAAGGCTCTCTACAACAGGACAGCGATAGCAGGTAAGTTAGGTGATGGATCTGTGTTGGGTTTGTGTGTGTGGTGGGGGTTTTGGTAGCAGGGGAGAGGGCTACAGGATGGCCCCTGTGAGAAGCTTCTCGAAATTGGACCCACCTCTGGCCAAGGCCGAACCAATTAGTGATGGTGGCTGTGCTTCTGTGGTAACATTTAATAAGGAGAACCTGGGTGTTGTGAGGGAGACACTTCTGGAATCACCGAGGTCAGTGGAAGAAAAGAGGAGGAAGTGGGGGGAGGTGTGCTGGAGCAGAGACTCCCCTGCAGCCCGTGGTAAGAGGGCAGGCTGTCCCCCTGAAGCACATGGAGGCTCACGGTGGAGCAGATGCTGACCTGCAGCCCATGGAGGACCCCACATTGGAGCAGGTGCCTGTGCCTAAAGAGGCTGGGACTCCGTGGGAAGAAGCCCTCGCTGTTATAGTTTGGCGCCAGGAGGACTGCAACACTCAGGAGGGACCCAGACTGGAGCAGTTTGTGAAGAGCTGCAGCCCATGGGAAGGACTCACATTGGAGAAACTTTGTGGAGGACTGTCTGCTGTGACAGGGACCCCACACTGGAGCAGGGGAAGAATGGGAGGAGTCCTTCCCCTGAGGAGGAAGGAGCAGCAGAAACAGTGTGTGAGGGACTGACTGCAGCCCCCATGCTGTGCCCCCTGCACCACTGGTGGGGAGGAGGTAGAGAAATTGGGCGCAAAGCTGAGCCTGGGAAGAAGTGAGGGGTGGTGGGATGGTGTTTTTAAAGATGTGGTAATGCCTCTAACTGTCCTACTCTGTTAAGTGGTGGTGTGGTGGTGGTGGTGTTTGAATGAAATTGATGTTCTTTTTCTTCCCCTAATGAGTCAGTCTTTTGCCCATGACCATAAGGGGTGAGTCATCCCTCCCTGTCCTTATCTCGATTCCAGAGCCTTTTGTTTTATTTTCCCTTGCTTATTCCTGAGAGGGAAAGAGTGAGCAACTGCCTGCATGGTGCTCAGTTGCCCTCTGGGCTCAAGCCACAACATGATCTAACTGGCATCTAGCTTACTGCTTACACAAGGTGAAATAGAAAGAATCTGTTTTTTCAACCTTGTCTGTTATCTTGCATGATGAATGACAGTGATGCAGTATAGATCAAGTGTACAGTGGAGGTCCTTTTTACTTTGTACCCATATACTATTAAAAACTGTGGGGAAGGGGTGTTGTAGTGCCCAAAACTAATGTGTGGGTGTCAAGATTTCTTTGTCTTGGGTCTATTTTTTTTAAATTTTAATATACTAAAAGAAGAATGTAAAGATGACTCTGCCTTTTTCTGGAGAGACAGTTCTCTTTAGATTTCAGCCAACTGAAATGGGCATTTGTGTTAGCTGTGGGTTCAACCTGTTATCCTTTGTTCTGCATTTCAGAAAAATTTTCTCTAGTGAAATTTGCTTGGGAATACCTTAAAATATGTAGTCCTATTTGCCATTACAATTCTGAAATAGAAATGTTTATCTTTCAAGTTTGTTCCAGCTCTACTGTAAGATACTTATTATTTCCATATTAAGGACATGAATTAAACGACCCAACTTGTCTTGGTAATATTACCTGCTTCTTTCAGTTTACGCACAGGAGAGCAAGAACATCCTCAGCCTGGAGTATCCACTGTGCAAAATAGACAAGGATACTGCAATTGTTGTCGTGTACACTACGGTAATCTGGAACAGGTGAGAAGGCTTATGCATAATTCAGCAACAGATAGCAATGAGTACCAAAAGGCTTTATCAGCTTATAAAATATCAGTCTTTACACTGAACAACCAATGCTGAATGAAAAATAATCAATTTGTGAATGGCACAATGTATGCACTCAGAAGAAGATACCCTTCTTATCTGTTACCTGTTAAAAAGATGCTGATGGAGTGACATGGCTACTGCGATCTGCTTTTCCAGAGTGGTACAGTGCTGTGCATTGCATCCATTAGGTTTATTCCTGTGGCTTTAATCTTGAGATTTGTATATATTGTAAAGTATTAGGGTTACTATGTTAGATATCAAGGCTAAAGACATTTGATCAACTATTTTCTGTTCTTTAACTCTGTCAGTCCCCTGTCTTTTAGACTTCTAAAATTAGAAGCTTATTTCATCTTCTGCGCTTATGAAAATTCTTTTTAACTTGACTGAACTATATGATGTTTACTCATATGAAGTTCAAGAATATTTTAATAGTAATATATAGAAACATTTAGAGTATTTGTACTAGTTGTAATAATCTTGTGAGTAACTGTCAGAGCTGCTAATTTAGGTTCCAACTCAGAAAGATGTTTCAATACATTTTAGTATTATTTGAGACCCCCTAAGCATGCTTAAAAATCCCATTGAATCAAGGCCTTAAAGTAGAAAAGGCTGAAGACTTTTCTTTTTATTTTCATAGCAGCCATGTAATGTTTGACCTGGAAAGTGATTTTTAGGAGGAGACCAGTGTGTTAGCAGTAGTATTAAACTAGTCATCTGTTTTATCTTTCACCAGCATGTTTTGAGCTCCCAACACAGACATTTTGCCACTTGCTGTAGGAATCATACGGACACCAATATCTTGGTGAAGCGTTTCCTGCAAGATGTTTTATGCTATCATCCCCACAGATACCATGACAACAGGTATAATATAGCTGGCCTTTTTTTTTTTTTTTCTTAAATGTGTTGGTCGAATATATGTATTATATTACAAGTTCTTATTTCTGTTCATCTGCTGAGCAGTAAATTTTGCCCATTTGAGGTGAAACTTTCACATTGAAGACAATTTAGAAAGGAGTTTGTTTATAGAAACGTTGTCCAAGTATATTGCTTTTGTATTGTCTCTGCACTTTTAAACTTTGTTTCACTACTTAAGAATTTGATACAACACAATTGATAACAATTAAACATGAAGACTATATAAAAGAGGAAATGTATGGGTCAGCAAGTATAATGGCAGACTGTACAGTCTGACGTGCATTTACAAATTCTTATAATTTGGACTTATATATATTATTAAGATTCTTATAAATCTGGGCTTTAAATATATATGCCAGTATATTTTATGGTATGTTTTGAAAGAGTTCATAATTTTGGTTTATTGTTTGTGGATAATGTCAGGTGAATATTTATATGTTTATTTTTAAGTTATCCTTGCAGTTCACGTATTCAGTTAATGCTTACATGAATTACATTAATTGGCCAACTCATTAATGTACAGTTTTTAAACAATGTTCTCTTTAGTTCTCATGTCTATGTTTGAGAGTCATAAGAGGGTCAGTGTGTAAGCTTTCTCTGTAGATGAAGGGAAATCAATTAAATCTGCAAGGCAGACAAAAATCTCAGTCTGAGCCCTGTACAGTGTATCTTGATATACAACTCTTCTACTTGTTTGTCAGATCTATGGAAGGATGTTTTGTGTGAATGTGGTCATATTGATACTATCAGGGATGTGACAGAACAAGCTAATAGGTGTGTCTGTGCCAAATTAGCCCAGGAAATGTACACATCACTATGAATAAGTAAATTAATCCTTCCATCTCAAGTAAATAAATTTAATCCTTCTATTTTAAGAACATCCACAATTTTTTGCGATGGAGAAAATACAGGATTCACTTTAAGGCAACACTTAGATGAAAAAAGCCATCTTCTGAGGTGTCACTAATACAAGGTTGTTGCTTTGGTGAACAAAAACTACTAACTAGGAAAAACAAGCTACCCATGTTCCTCTTAAGTTGTTGGAAGAAGGAGTAGAATGAGAAAAATAATGTACAAAATCTAGATGGAGAAGAGGGAGGAGTAATCCCAAATCTAGACAGGGTTTGGAGGAAAAAAAAGTGAAGATGGAAAGTATGAATAGATTTATGTTGCAATCCTGCTCTGAAAAATGACTCAAAAAACCATCACATTCTTAACTGACATCTGAGGTAAGAATTGGATTCTCTTTGTTCTTACATAAAAACATTTGGGTTGATACCAGCTTCGCTCAGTTCTTAAATACCTGATTTTACTATTTAGCTGAATTCACACAAGGGTTCCTAAGAGTGTCATTTAAAGGGATTATAGAAATATTTGTAAGACTTGATTTGGTTTGCAGAACTAGTATACCTAGTAGTGATGTGCAAAAAGGAAAAAAACTGTTCAGAGCTTTAACTTATACTGAATTTCAAAGGATATTGGTGTTCTGCCCCTCCACCCAGTAAAAAACCCCACAAACCAACAAATCATTCCTTCCTCAAGACTCTTGTTGTAGAAGTTTCTTATGTAAAGAAATAATATTGAGCATTCAAGAGAGTAAATTTTCATTCTGCATTTGGGGGTAATTTGTAGCAAAACTGTCAGAAGTTCCTAAATGTATAGAACTATAATTCTATTCTCTCCACCCCAGAGACATTTGCTTATAAATAATTTTTGAAAAATGGATATAGTCTGTTAAGCGAGCTAGAAGCCTGGGAATTTACTAGAGTTTATCCATACCAAAGTCTTATTTAGTCCTATATTCAGTCTTCCAGAAGCATCCAGATGCCAAGTGCTTCACTCAAAGATGGAAGAACTCTGAAATTTTCTCACTTAAAAGATCTTAATAAATCTTAAGATATTACTACCCTTGGCCTTCACTTTAGGTCTAATTCTGATCTGTAAGATTTTGAAAAGATTTTGAAGTTTGAACAACAGTGCTTTATCTCAGAGCTTAGGTAGACAAGAATGCATGCAGCAGTAGGGTACAGCAGTTCAGCTGACAGGCATTGTTTGATCATCTGTTGTATTTGATTACATTGCATTCATATGATAATAAAAATAATTTTTTTTTTCCTTAATTTTTCATTATATGAGGTTTTTCCTTTTGCTTGGTCAGTCCTATAACCCTTATCTGTACTCTGATTAATTCTGTCCCCTTTTCTTGGATAACTGGAATTCCACTGTATCCTAAAAGATGATACAGCTTTGAGGAAAATGTTATATTTTTGGAGTACACAAGGAATATTGCAGGTTGTGTGGTTGTGTCATAAAACTCAATTAGTTCTCTCTTAAAATAATGCATCTTGAGCAGGGAGGAATTGTATACTGCTGTTAGTGAATTGATGTGGCTTGTCAGAGTCATGTAAAGTATGTTGTAAGTTTTATCCCTTGTTCATCAAAATTTGACTGAACATCCCTATTGCGTTTCTTTATTTAAGTTATTCAGATGATCCTTTTAGGATTTCCTTGTCATTTGAAGATTTTAATACTTTACCCTTCAAAAACTTTGAAACGGGCAAGTAAGTCATCAAACTTAGCCTGAACTGGGGGGCGTTCTGCTTCTAGTCTTTTGTTGTGGTGATGAGTGATTGTTCAACCCTCATATTTGGTATTAGCAACCAGTCCTTGGTGTTTGATTGGGCTTTTTTTTCACTCCTCCAATGATTATTTAGCTTTTTAATAGACTCCCAGGGACCTTAATGAAATCCTTTCGCATATCAAAGTAGTAAATCTTTTCTTCTTTATCTACTCCTTTATTACTGCCTAACACATGGTCCAGTGAGATGCAACTTTTCCTTTTAAGAAACCTTGATGGTGACTAGATCTTGTAGTGTTCCAGCTATTTTATTCTATTCTAATTGTTGTTACTTGAGCTAACTTGCCAGGTACAGCTCTAAAAGCTTTTAGTTGCTATGAAACTTTCTGTATTGCCACCTATAACTTGATTATGTTTTAAAATGTTAGCAATGTATTTACCACCTTTCCAGTCTTTCGTAACTATTTATAATAGAAAAGTTTTGTTTTCACATTTTTTTTCTTCAGACTTTCAGCCTGTGATTGTATTTCATATGCATTATCAGGAATAAACCTAAGGTCTGTGGCAGGTACTTCCTTACTTTCACTTAAATTGTGTATTATTACAATATGTAAGGGTATATACATTCACACATACTTCACTCTTACACAAACACACACTCTCTCCCCACACACTTTTCACAGGTACAGGAACATGTGCGTGTCTTGTACATGCTTTTGAACACTGTAAAATTATGACAAGTTGGATAGGCATGGTGGCCTTACTTTCTAACCTCTGGAAAGTAAACAAAGGTAAAATTTTGCAACATGAATTTTTCAGCCTTTAGTGTTTGAATGGAAGAAAAACATGGACACAACTTGACCTATGGAGCCATAGGTAGTGAGCCTGTAATAACAAACATCTTGTTTTGGGGTGCATGTTGATACAACTTGCACCATTAGTTCAAATCAAGTTTTGGCAGTCGATATTTGAGATGTACATCACCTTAGTGAATGAAGAATAATATGCTCATAGCCGAAGTAAAATATAAGTTACTTCATTGTGAATAGCATGCAGTGCTTTATCACTTTTCATGTAGCCCAGTGTGATTTTTGTTATGAGTTGCAGTGACTGGAGGGGTCCTTTATCTTCAGGATGTTCATGTGACTGCCCTTGTGTTTCCCTGGATGGCTTTTTTTTTTTTTTTTTTTCTTGACAGAAAGTGCTTAAGTGCTTCAGTCCCTCCACTGTGAAATAACTTGTAGGACTTGGTCTTCTTATAACTTTAATTTCCATGCTATTTTGTATTAAAAATCTGTTTTCTTTATGATTGTTAATAGCTCTGTAGTTCTTCTCACATGACCTCAGTAAATAGGGATTTTGTCACTCTTGGTACTTAGTACTCTGAGGCAGTCTGGGAGCTGTTAGTAATTTTGAGAGGCTGTGGAAAATGTGTGATGTTTCAGAAGGACTGGGAAAAAACAAATGTAGCGATTGTCAATTATCAGTAGGGCAGAGAGAGGATCTGCCCACAGAGTTCATTGCTTAAATTACAGCATTTCCCTGAGAACTGTATAACCAAACTGTTCATAAGAATCTAGAAGACAATGAAGTGACGAGTAATGGTTACTGCTGATTCAGTCAAGAAAAATTGCAGCAGGCCATCCTAATTTCCTCTTTTGACAAGATAACAGACCGTGTGAATAGAGGAGAATCATCCATCTTGGTGCCATCTGTCATGTCATATCTATCATGCCATCTGAAAAGCCTAGCTTTTGGCATGTTCTTGGATGAGGCTTATAAGCAAGCTAAGGAAAATGTGCTTGGAGGTTAAAGGGTAATGAAATTAATATGTAGCTGGCTGGAAACCTATTTTCTTAATTGTTAGTGGCACAGAGAGAGAGAACAAAATCTAATGGTGGATCATGAGCCCTATCACTGTGCCTTATCCTGAGGTTTGAAGTTGGTATTTTCAAGTATGACTTATTGGGGGGAGGGGGGAAAGAAGGGAAGGAGTTTTGTTTGTTTGTTTTGGTGGTGATCCTATGAATTATGCTTTTCTGGACTAAATCTTGTTAACTCTGTAGAGTTCAAGTGTCAGTTCTAAAGATTTTTTTTTTTTTTAAACATTGGACAAGCCTATCATATATATTTGTTTGTTTGTTTGTTTTTTCCAACTATAAAACAGTTCTTCCAAGCTGAGAATTCTTCTTTTATATGTCATCTCTTGGTAAAAAGCTGAGACATAGCTATATTCAGATAAGTTCTCTTGTGATTGTTTTTCAGTGTGAAGTAGTTAGTTAGAAATACTTGCTACAAGTTTGCTTGGTATCAGCTGGCTTTATTAATAAATAATGTCTGAGACCTTCAAGGACTTCCGCACATGTTGACTATTAAGCACTGCTAATTCTGTTGGCCCCTGACTGATTTTTAACTTTCAGTAAATGTGAAAGCTGAATGTTTATAGTCAAGGAAATTACTGTACAATAACATTTATTCACAATACTTCTGTTAGCAGATGAATGCACCGTAAGAGGTGTGTGGCTGTCTGCCATGCACCCATTTGAGTCTCGCAAGGTCTGGTTATAACTTTAAAATGAAACATAATATTCTCTCTTCAGTTATATTTACCTTTTTAAAAATTATTTTGATTGGATTTTCCCATCTATTACACATTGAAGCTTTGTGGGTTTCTGTGTTGCATAGGAGAAATAGTCTGTATCTGTCTATTCTGTTAATTCTGCAAGACATAAGCACTTGTATTTGAGACAGTCCTAAAGACAGAACTGCCACTTACAGAATATCTAAAAATCTGCTGTTGTCACAGTGAGGCTGAACAATCATAACTTGGCTTCTTATAGAAGTGAGTCAGAAGCTGTGGTATGTCTGAGAAACAGTAAGCATGGAATTCCTTGGCAACATGTGCAGAGTTCCTGTCAGGCAGCCATGTTTTGTAGGGAAAAGGGATAATTGTACTTAATAGTATTTTTATACTGTGCCATATTATAATGTTCCATTTCTCTACAAAAGTTCGATATTAATTAATGATAGTTTTACCAGTAAAATAACCTCTTTATAAGCTCACAACTTCAAACAAAGGAAATATATTTAATTTTTATTGCTTTGCTGTATTTATAAAATGATCCTAATATATGTTTGGCCATTCTTAGTGGGTGGTTGCATGAGGAAGGTAACTGACTAATGCCCAAATTGTTATCTTTAGCTTTGTGGAATGTTCCCCCTTCCCCTTCTACCCTTTTTTAAAATGGAATATCTCTGCTAAAGTAGCAGGACTGGTAACTTGAGGTTGTTCATTAAGTGAACAAACACTCTGGATAGTTACTCTTTTTTTTTTTTTCCTCCTTTTTTTTTTTTTGTTTTTTTTAAGAACACTATTGTTTGAAAAATCTTAAGCATATTTACAGTCTTTATATAAAGGTGGTATTTTTGCTTCCCCTGCAGACCAAGCTATGATGACATGCCACTCCCCATCACTTCAGAGGCTGCTAGGATTGCTTGCCTGTCCCCAGAAGAGATGGAGAGACAGAGGAAGAGAGACAGACAGGAGATTTCCAGCAAAGACAAGGAGTCCATTGGTGAAATAAGCTCTTCTGCTCCCTGCCTGTCTCAAGAGGGCACAAAGAAAACTTCTGTAACACAAGCATTTACTAAAAAACTAGAAAGAGGGCAGGAACATGTTACAAGAGTATCGCAGCAGTCCATGGGTATTTGTAGCAATGAGAAATGGGATACCCTGAAAGATGCTCAGATTGCAAATTGTAGCCATGAAGGCCAGTTTACAGCTGTGAGCAGGTGTGATAAAACAGGAATGGAGGTATGCAATAACAATGTGTCATTGAACCCAGGCTTGAATCCTGCTCTGGCATCACTTCACCAAAAACACCCTTCAGTTTCTCATCAGAATCTTATGTACAGCCACAGCAATTCTTTATGTATTACCTCAGGTCAATCTCTCTCAAAACGAGATGGTTTACGAACTCAGGATGAAATTTTGGTGTCTGATTTCCATCTCAGGGATACTGTGGGTATCAGCAGCTCCTTAGATCTTGGGACATCCCCACAATTCGCAAGATGCAAAAATGTGAAGACAAACAGAGGTGATGAAAGTTCAGTAGGTGAAACTACTGAAGATGTTATTCTGAAATACTGCTGTGGAACTACATCTGAAGAAATTTATTTCAAAGAAGAGAATAATCCCTGTTTAGCTGTTTCATCACTTCTGGACCATACTTATTTGGAGGGTTCTGAAATGAGTTTTGACTGTGATGTGCCTATTCAGGAAGGAACCGATTTACCCAAGGCAGCTATAAAAGATATAGAATTCCTAAAAGAGGTCCAAATAAGTTTGCAAGATAAAGACTATGAAACACAGCTGTCTTCTGTTTTAAAAAGTGAGTCAGTAGAGAAAACAGGAGCAGTGAAACAGGATGTTGTTCATACTGAAGAACCAGTTCTTCCAGCTCTGCCTCATGTGCCTCCTTCTTTTGTGGGAAAGACTTGGTCTCAGATAATGTATGAAGATGATATAAAAATAGAAGAACTTGTGCGTGATTTCAGGGAAGGTCGTTTTCGCTGCTACTTTGACAGTGAATCCTCAGCCAACTGTACAGGGAAGAGAATGAAGAAAAAGCAGAAGGATGAAAAAAAGAACAATATTGTTGAGGATAATAAAACAGAAAGTGCATCAGTTAAAGCATTGCCAGAATTTAATGATTCTTTAAGTGGTGGCTCTGATTTTGATAACCCATCTTTAGTCTCAGATACACTATGCAACCCACAAATTCTTAAAATGCCTAGGAAAAGGACATGGCGCCTGGCTTCAAGGTGCCAGGTGGTTAAAGTCAGCCATGGCACCCAAACAAGTCTATTGAACTACCCTGTAGCAAAAAGAAAAATGTCTAGAAGGGAATCTGAGCCAGCTGATCAGAAAGCAAGCAGCATGTGGCCAGAGAATGAAAAAACTCCAAACATGAAAACTAGACTATGTGCCCTTAAACTGCCTGAGTCCTACAGCAGGATTATGAGTCCTGTACAGCCCAAGACAGTGGTCTATGTGCTTTCGTGCCCAGAGATAAAACAGTGTAAAGGTAAACCTATAGATATTCCCAAAATGAGGAAAAATCGTAACTCCACAGTTGTCAAGGACTCTGTAAGGTATAAATACAAACAGTGTTCTTTTAAGTATTATGACCCACTGACAAATCGAATTCTGAAAACACCTCCAAACAGTACAGTTGGAGAAAAGGCCAAGAAGCCTTCCCATGTTCGACAGCTTTTCAGAAGTCTCAGCTTTGATGCAAACATGAGGAAACTAGATGATGCACAGAGAGAAAGCACACCATCAAAATCATTCAATTGGTCAAGCTTCTGTAGTTCACCTTCAGCATCTTTCCTGCCAGATCCAGATAAAGGGAATGATGCAGCTTCAAGTCAAAAGGCAGATGGATCTTCTCTTTCCACAGAAAGAACAGATTGTCTGGTATCTGGTCACTCTGAGAACTCTTTTAAACACCTGATCATTTCGCCTGTGAACTCTCACCAGCCTGTGGTAGAAGGAGATGGTAGGTTAACTCCATTTAACAGTAGAGTTACCAAAACTCCTCTGACCTCCGTCAGGAGTGAGCGGTTAGAGAGAGAGAATCCAAAGGCAATCTGGCAGAGAAAAGAAGGCACTAATAAAGAACCAGTTTTTTCCAGTAAGGCTGCAGGACCTGTGTCTGTCAGATGTACTGTTGGGAGGAGAGGAAACAGAGTAACCAGAGGCAAACAAACTTCCAGAACTAAAAAACAGCAAAAAGGGGGAATGAGAAGGAAACTTTGTCCTCGTGCCCAGAAATCTGCTTTTTCCATCCAGAGGTGCCAGACAAGGAAAACTACAGTGGGAAAGCACCTTAAGAAAGAAAAGCCTGATGCTAAAAAATTAAAGGTGAGGAGGAAACCAAAAAGGACCTTTCTGAACTCAACAGTTGTCACAGGTATTCCTGAAAAGAGGCAGAAAGTCACATCAGAATCTTTTCCCAAAAAGCCAGAGTGAGTTTCTTCCAAAGTCAGGAACTGGGAAGTAAGTGGAGATCAGGGTCACCCTAGCACTGTGAACCAGTCCTCTAGAAGAACTTCTCCTGTACTGTTACTTCAAAACTGTCTTGTTCTACCAGGTGAGAGCTAGCAACCGAAAGAACTTTTTTTTTTTTTTTTTTTTTTTTTTATAGCCAGCACCTGGAAAAAGATTGAGGAAAAGGAAAGGAAACAAAAGGAGGTCATAGACAAAGCAGTTGAAGTGCTGGAGCTGCAGAAAGTGAAAAGCCAGTCTAATGTGAAACAGTTACAACTGTAAACTCAGCTCTTGTTCCTGGAATATGGGGACATAATGTATTGCACTGTCCTACTGTGTAAAGCTGCAGAAGTTGTGCATTTGTGTTAAAAAGCACTTAGAATCCTATTTACTAGACTCTACCTGTACATCAGAAAAATGAGCTTGAATAGTATCATATTGTTTTTATGGTATTATAAGTGCGTAATAGTGCACTAAAATAAGGTAAATAAGAAGCTGTATTAATTAATTGTGCCTATTCTAATTTTTTCACATAATTCTAAAGTGCAAAAAATGACTTGGTTGTTACACTAGAAATTAAATGCCGATACATTAATCTGGACTCAATTCTGTGTATGTATTTTGTGTCTGTGTATATGCACACCTCCTTCAACACATGATATATACTTGCCTATGGAATGGCATTAAAATTAATACAGTATGATACAATTCAGATCAATTCAGTGCTTTCTGCAAATTAAATATAATTGTACATGTTTTTATATTGACTTTTTTTCTTGAAACCATGTCCAAAGCAGTTACTTTGGACAAAAAGTCACTGTGGGCTCTCATCAAGCAATAATGGACCATGCTGGTAAGGAAATATGTGTCTCTAGGGCACTGTTCGAATTGTGGTGGCTAAAGTGAAATCTCAAATTCCAAAACAAGTACAGGCGTAGGGTTTGGGTTTGGGGTTTTAATTTATTTTTTTTAATTTTTTAGATATTGATTTAAGCTTATAGGTGAATTTCATATTCCTTAGTGGGGAGGTGGAAAAGTTATAGTACAAACAAATAGCAGTGAGTTTTTCTAGAATTTCAACCTTGAATTTGAGTTTCTGTGCTTTTGATTTTAATTGGGTGTACTATTGGTTACATTTTTATGTACTATAGTTGCAACCTTCTTTTTAAACTTTTAATTAAATGATTAAATTAACCTAAAGCAGCATCCATCTAAATGTATTAGAGTTCAAATATCTCTTTAAACCGATATTTAAATATCTGTTTATTTAGTTGAATTTAAATTATATTCGATAGAGAATCAAATTTGGCCACTGATGCTCTCTAACTACCATGATTTTATGACAAAAAGTATTGTATTGTTCTGGTTTAGGTTTTTGGTTTTTTTTTTATTAACAGTTATTATGATGACAGCTTATTGTGTTTGAGACATAAACCCCAGTTTTTCAGATGTTACTATGCTTTAAAATCCAAGATTAGTTGTTCATTTGTGTTAAGCATATAGTTATACATCAGAATCAGGGCTCTGGTCTGTAAATCTGCAATTTGGTATATTATATAATCTATTTTACTTTAAAGGTCTCTGTAAATTCTATAGTTGTATAATAGATCTTTCTGAACACAAGAAAAACAGAAAAGACTATACCCTGCTCTTTCTGCCATTGAACATAATATCTGTGCATTTGTCCCTGAAAAAAACAAAATCATTCTTGATTCATTTTCTGAAGTGTCAAGGGTCACTCGTTTGGATTGGGATAAAGGTGGACTTTGAAATTTTTTGTTTTAATATACAGTATCTGAAGGAAATATAAAAGCTGTCATCATAAATCACTTATTCAATAAATATTTTGGGGATTTTTTTTTTAATGTATGTGCATATTTTCCAAAATAAATAAAAGAAGTGCATGTACTTAAGCCAGCTGGAAACTAAGTTCCTTTACAAGTCAGATGTGGTCTGTTAGGAGGTTTGTTGTTTTTTCTTTAATTTATTTTATTTTTAAAATAAAAGCTTATGTATATGGATAAATTTTCCTATAGCTGTCAGTAGACAAAATCTTAGGACCATATTGCAAGTCACTGGAAAATGAAGGGTTATATGAGTTCTTGTAGCCCTCTTAAGTAATTGTGCCTGTATAATTTAATATTTTGTCTAATATAAAACTGAGGGGTTTTTTTTAAAGCAAAGTTTTAAAAGAATGGTTTTTATAGAAAGGCTAATTTTTAGATAAAGCAAGAGAAGATTTTTTTAAACAAAGTTTGTTTTAAAGCAAAGCTTTAAATTAACTCTATAGATAAGTCCCATTCTAACATATTTTTATGATACAAGAATGTTTTCCTAACTTCATCTTATTTTTCACAATATTGTACACATGAAGAGCATGAATCGTTTTGTGTGTGAATAAAGTTTAATGTACATTGTACTTTAAGATCACTAGTGCATATTTATTTACAGCCAAAAATACTGTTCTCCATACTCATTCACTGCAAGCTTGTGTTTCGCCAGCACAAAACTTTTCCTTGAAACCTTGAGTAATAAAAATATCGAGGACTATAAATTGACTAACATTTTTAGCCTGTAATGTCTCTTTGTAAATAATAGACCCCCTTGTCAGGGTGTGTTTTGTTTGTTTGTTTTTTTAAAGAAAAACATGTATTAAATAAAAGTGTAAATAGCTATATATTTTCCTTAAAAACAAAACACAATAACAAGTATGAAATGTAACAATGTCTTTTAAATAAGAGTTGGTACAAGTCTGGAAACGTTTGTGTGGTTGACAGTGTCAAAATAAGATTTACTATAAGCTTGGATGTTATTCTATGCCTCACCTCTGACTGTTTAGAAACCTCTTCTGTGCATGCTCAGCGACTACTAGGAAAAAGAGGGGAGATTGTGGTATGAGAAGAAAATGTAGAAACTGGTTTGGAAAGAGAATTGATGAAGATATGTGCAAAACAAAAAATTGCAGAGACGCTCAAAATACCATGTGCATGAAAGGCAGAGATTCTGCTGCCATTGTTGTATAGCATGTTTCATTAGCATCATGGCTGAAACTTTGAAACATGACTGTGAAGTCTACACCAATGGAAGACTTCAGAGCTGAAATACTTTCTCACTGAAATTGATGGGAAGAGTGTTGGTTGGTTTGGGGTGGGGGGTGTTGTGGTTTTTTAACATTAGTGGACAAAGATGTTTGTCAGTATGATTGCATGGCTTAATCTAGTGAAGCAAGAAAAGGTAACTGGATTAAAAAGAAATAAAATCATGCTTTTTGAATAATAGGTAGCAGTTACATAATAGCAGTTACATAATAGGTGGCTACCTACATAATAGTTGAGGAAAATGTTATTTTTTTTCAATGCATATGTAATTTTGACCTTCTGCAAGTTCATACTTGTGTTTTTTTAGACAGTTCATAATTTACAAAAAGGCTCTCTCCCCACAAAGTACTCATTCAACCTTTTAAAATTATCTTATTCTTAAGCAGCTTGATTTTTATTATTTACTTGTATTGTGAACCTTGAGTGTGACCCAGACTCATACTGTGCCAGGTGCTAACTCAATATAGACTAGCAAGTCCCCAAAACTTTAGATGTCTGATGCTTGTACCTAGCAGTTACTCAGTTCCTTTTCTGATAGGATATTTACTTTCTAGTTCTTTCTGACAAGTTTGCGTCTAATGTGCTTGTAGTATGAAAGTGCTGCTCTCTGTGACTGATAAAATAAAATATTAGTTGTATTTATAACGACCCTACGACTTAATCTGAAGTTGTGCCTAAGTTTCATGCTAAATATGTGCCCAAATTGAAATATGGGGTTTTGTGGTTGTCATGTTCTCGTACTTGGTGAGGCATTTAGCAATACTCTTGCTCAATGCTATGATTTTTTTATCTGCTTCTCTGTCTCTACTGTCTGGTCATTTGACACAATGTGAGCCTGTAAAAATACAGTGATATTACAAACTTGTCCAGTGCTATTGCTGGATGTTCTTTCTTTTTATCTTCAGCTCATTTAATTTCAGATTTATTGTTTCCATGTTTTGCCTCAGTCATGTGTTTGGATTTTTTTTTTTTTTTAAATATTGTGAAGAGCTAAATCACAGGACAGGATATTCTATTTGGAAGTAAATCAGTGACAGGTAACAGAAGTGGATGTTGTCTTCATCTGAAACATAGAGGATGAGCTGGTATATATGCTCCTGTGCTTGAGAGTCCACTGAATATGTGAAACAGGAGTGGGATGGTGATTCTTGATTTCTTTAGCTGTTGTGTTTTCTCTTTCTCCTAGGGTAACTGTCTGAGAATGGAATAATCTGACTTCATACTTATTCTGGAAATAGAACAGTGTTTCAATTGTTGATATTTTGGGGACAGATAAGTAGAATGGGTCTCACTTGCTAATAAAATTAAAATCCCAGAAGGATGTATCTGCTATGAATTACAGCATTGCTGATAATATTTGTCAGAAAACTTTGTAGTAGCATAGGTCTGAGCATGCCCAGAAGCAAAGGTTTTGTTCCTTGTTTGCTTATACTTTGCAGTTAGGAATTTATCATTCCTTCAGCAGAAGAAATCTTGTTTTAATAAAATAAAGACAATTTGCATTTTTGTACTTTATTTGTTCTTGAAGTGGAATTTAAGTTGAAATTATTTCCGATAATTTGTCATGGAAAAAACACCACAGAATGCTGTGGAATATGCTACTACAACGAAAAAGGCCAGTCATAATTTAAACAGCTGTTCACAACTGTATGATATTTTGACCCAGTGAAGTCCTCTCTTGGCTTCAGTGAAGCCAAGATTCATCCCATCCTATGGCAACTGAAGCAATGACAGCCTAAAATGGCATTGAAAAAGAGCCAGATGTATTTTAGATGTCTAGTTGCATTTTGGCAGCAGGAAGCCAAGAAGTACCAACTGCGTGGCAAGCCAGATCGTGCAGAACTTGCTCATGAACTGCTTTTTCAGAACATGTGCTTAGTAGATGAGGGCAGTGGCCAGAAGTGTTGTAATGTTAAGTAGCTTTCTACTTTATGCAAAATGATTTGGCTTCTCTGTAATCATAGACCAAATCAATCCTGATTATGATCTTATAATGTGTGTGAAACTGTCTTCAAAGCTGTGTGAAAAATACTTTTTAAGAGATTTTCTGGTAAATGGAATAGGAGAATAGCTTGAACAGTAGAATACCCTGTGTAGAATACCTTGTTCTTTAAACTTAGTATCTGCTGTTGGTAACAGTGGTGCCACTTTAAACCAGCATGATCTTTCACAGGAGCGATGCACACAGATGTGTCAGTTTGGATCAATAAATGGCTGAAAGCCACAGGTATAATGTTTCTTGAGGCCTGAATGTCATAAAATTTCAGCACATGCTTTGGAGTTTTTAACCCATACTTGAAGATAGCTATGTATTATGTAGTTGGCTGAATGAAGGTATTACTGTCAAATAATTAAAGATATAACATATTATTCAGCCATCTAAATATTTAATTATAAACATGATACTCTAATAAAATTTTAAGCCTGGTGATTGCTCATATTTCCCATGAAAGATGAAATAATGATATGCTTATAGAGTCTCAAGTACAATGTAGGTCCAGTTCAAGTTGAAGTATTTAAGAGTTATGATGAAATCAATAACATGCTTTTAGTTGGCTTTGGATTCGTTGGAGTCATTAGTGGTTTGATGCACAAAATTACTGGGTTTCTGTGGTCCTGGAAGTCATCATGATTTTCTTGAAGTGCAGAAGCATTGTTTTTGGTGAACCGTATGAACACAAGATCATTACAGCTTATGTGATTTAACAGTGTCATTGATTCTAAACCCAGGCTTTTTCTTTGTCAGCGTTCCTTCCTTAAGGAAAACTGAAAAACGGTTCTTCCAGAATATTAGCATGTGTAAACAGGTTTTTAAATATTTCACAGTCTCAAATAAAAACGTAATTTAGTGTACTAAAGTTTGTCAGCTTTTCATATTGGATGTGTCATACTCCGTTAATGTTGGCACTGATGCAACTGAAAATGTTGGTTCTAGCTTACCTAGTCATTATTGATATTCTACAAGCAAGTTGCAGAATTGAAATATATCCTTGCTAGCTCAAGCAGAGAACTTAGACACTGTCTGCTGCCCTGGAGATTGTGCTGTAAGAATTAATAGTGAAGGGGGTAGATGTAGTCCTCAACATACATGTTGCATTCCTTGTGGACGTAGTGCACGTGCATGACTTGCTTTTTATTACACTAAAGTTTTAAGATTAAGAGGTAGAAGTGAGGAGTAAGACTTAAAGATGTAGGATAGATTTGAACTAGACCAATGAATATTCCAGTTTGGTTCTTTATTATTTATCTCTTTTTTGTCTGAACATTGGCAAACGGTTGTCAAAATCCATCTACTTCCTGTGGTGGTTCAGCTGGGATTCCCTCATTCATTCTTCTGGTATATTACTTTAATTTGCTTAATACATGGATAATATTTCTGTTTACTGCTGTTCATTTTGATTCTTTCATCTACTGCTTAGAGAGGAAAAATAATTATAACAATGATTGTGCACATGCTTCATTTCAAAGGCTAAAGAAAAAAGTTGTAAGGCAGTATGTGGCTACCAGCAGATTTCTCCATACACCAAAAGAAGCTCTATTGAAATTCTAATCTAATGATGACTAATCAATCAATTGCCCATATAATGATAGAAACACTCGTGCTTTTTGTTTGAATGGTGTTAGACTCAATCTGCATACAATTAAAATCAAATATACTGACTTTTTTGTAACAGATACGGCTTTCCAAATGTGTCAAACACTTTAATTTTCCAATCTGTTCTAGCAAATTGTCATTTCCTGAGTTATTGCCAACACACTGGAAGTTTGATTGATTCTAGGGTCAGAATAATGTTGGAGTCAAAGTCATTGTATTTTCACCTACCACAATTAGTTAGTGGCCATACAGCACTTTTTGTGGATGTAAAGAACTCTTAAGTGTTCAGTGTTACCAAGAATTGTCTTCTGTAGTCGTCGTATTTTAGATGTTAGTATTCAATGGTTTTTGTGAAATGCATTGGTAAGCACAGTATTTTTCTCCTTTTAGAGCTTAAAAGAGAACACACTAGTTAGGTTGTATTTTACATATTTTTATTTCTGACTAGAGAGACTGTCCACTTTTTCTGTGCCTAGCAAATTTCTTTTTTCTCGCTCACACTCCTCCATTTTAAAATAAGAATTCATCTGCAATGCAGAGTTCTCCATCTTTATTTTCTCAGAGTAGGGTGTGATGAGTGTAATTTGGCTGCATCAGGAATATAGTTTTATGTAATTATGTAGTTATTGCCTATGTCTATGAAGGCCTCTCTGCCTTATCATGGAAGATGTGAAAGGGAGCCAAGCATCCACACCTGTTTGTCTCTAATCCTTGGGTCTTGTTTTATTGCCTACTGCATCTTTTTCAAGCTCCCTATTGCAGCCAGTGGGTCAACTCTTTATTTCATTTAACTCTAGAGTATGTTGGAAAACAGAATTTTTTCATTCACAGAAAAAAAAATGGGTTGAAACTTAATTTTCGACCAACTTTTCCCATGAGAGACTCGCATTCTAGTGGGTGTGGGGGGTGAAAAAACAAAAATACCTGACAGTTGTATTTTGGCAAGCGTTTTGTGTCCTCTAAGCTCTCGGAACCACAGGAAGAGCTAATATTGGCAGGCACCTCTGGAGATGTCTAGTCCAACGCAGGCTCGGCTGGAGCAGGCTGCTCAGGGCCACATCCCATCAGATTTTGAGTATCTTCAAACATGGGCACTCCACAGCCTCTCTGGGAAATTGTTCCAGCATTTCACTAACCTCACAGTCAAAAAGGTTTTTATCTCTGTGTTTAAACGGAGTTTCCTGTATTTCAGTTTGTGCTTGGTGCATCTTGTGCCTTCACCATGCACCGCTGCCAAGAGCCTGATTGCGCGCCAGCAGCTGGGCCGCTGCTGGTTCTGGAGGTCCCTCAGTGTGCGAGCATGGGCCACGGGCAGTGGCTGGTGCCAAAACCCTTGCTCAGTTGTGCCAGGGGAGATTTGTCCTCTGGTGGGGAGCCCAGCCCATGCCAATGAGGACCTAAGCAGGCTTTGGTTTTCCTGTGCTTTACCTGGCTTTCGTGGCAAAATGAGTCCTCTAAACCCAACTTCTTACAAGAATTAGGTGGTTTCTTTTTCCAATGGAAGATTTTTCCTTGGTACTCTTTTGCATATTTCAAAATACATTTTGAATATTTCAAATTATATGGGTTTGCTGACCGTACATCTAAAACTTCATAATTGTTTGACATAAGACAGCATTCTGGTTTAATTTTCTTTTTGTTTGAATACTGTAGCACATCTCTATTAACAGTTTAAGTTCTTTCTCTGAGTCCATCTTGTATAGGATGATAGTGCTGTATTTTTTCTTTATAGATGTACTCACTTCTCTCAAGTTTATAAGGCAAAGAATTAACATTTGTCAAAAGTGTACATGTGAATCTGAGCTCCATTGTCATCACTTTGTATGAACTTTACTGAATTCTTGAATTACATCTGAAGAGTGGGAAAAGACATGAGCTTGCAAGTCACTTAAACTCCTCTGGAAATTTTATGTAAACTATTTAAGTTGTGGCGGGTTTGTTTGTTTTTGTTTTGTTTTTTTTTTTCCCCTTTCTTTTTCTTCAGCACTGTTTTAAAGAGCTACATTGTGCTTTTATCAATGTCTTGACAGTCAAAATGCTCAGGGTAGTGAAT